TATTGTTAATTACTGAGGGACATCCAGTGACTCCCTGTATTTCTGTTTTTACTACACTTTTAAAGATTGAGATGTCATTATATACAATAACAGGCATAGATCTTAAGTGTTGTTTAATGACTTTGACAGCTAACACCCATATGACCACCACCTAAGATATAGAAGGCTGATTTCCTACTTAATATAGGTGACAGGGGGATGGAGGTAGCAAACTACCATTGCATGTGTATACCTATGTAACAGTCCTGCAAGATCTGCACATGTACCCCAGAACTTAAAGTGTATATTAAAAAAAGACTTGTTTCCATCACCAAGAAAGTCATTTCTTGCTCCTTTCTAGAAAATTCTCTCATCTCAACTCCACAATCACTTTTTAAATTACCATAGATTCATTTTGCCTTCTGAAATTTTTATATAAATGGAATTATGCTGTATGTATTATTTTGTGTCTGGTTTCTTTCACTCAGCACACCGTTAATAAGATTTATCCAAGTCATTACCTGTGTCAGTAGTTCACCCTTTTTCTTATTAGCAGGTGGTATTCCTCCGTATGGATATACCGCATTTGTTCATCCATTTTTCTTCTGTATTTCTCAATTAAAATAAATTTGGTTATTTCTACAGTATCATATGCAATGGAAAAATCAAAATTACATGTAGAAAAATTTGGTCTTATAAATAGCATCTTAAAAATAGGTGAAATGCATGATAAAATGATTGACATTTATCATTTCTATAGCTCTCCAGAGAATGAGAAAGTTAAGCCAGGTATAGTGGCATTGCCTATAGTTCTAGCTACTCAGGAAGCTGAGCTGGAAGGATTGTTTGAGCATTGGTTTGAGTCCAGCCTGGGCAACATAGTAAGACCCCATCTCTAGGGAAAGAGAGAGAGAGAGAGAGAGAGAGAGAGAGAGAGAGAGAGAGGGAGAGAGAGAGGGAATGAGAAAGTCATAAGCCCTCTGTTGACCATAAAATTGCAATGTCCATATGTTATTTAACTTGAAAATACAAACTGCCAAAGAAAAATTATAAGTGGGTCAATTCTGTTGAGGAAAAAATGAGCCCAAAGACAGATTTAGAATTAATAAAATAGAAATAAAGAAAATAAAAAATAGGAGTTGCTTTAATTTGTTCTACACACACACTCACACACAAACATACACTCAGAGGTCAACAATATCCCTAGAGTCATTTTAGGTATGGGGGCAAGCAAGGGATAGGGGGCCAGCGGTCCTACATATCACAAATGAGTTCCCAATTGTTTTCTGCAGAGTATTTGATACTTCTTTAAATCAGATTTAATTGAACATTTTAGATGTATTTAGTTACATATGAAAAGACTTGATATAGACCTTGGAAATGTAATAATTTTTCTCTGAAGTCCTTTTTTGTTCTTGGAGATGTAAGATTATGTGTTTAAGAATATGTTGGTTTAGAGATTATTTCTAGTTGGGTTTCCTAAGGACATTTTGTTAATGACACTAGTTTTAAAGAGTTATCATTTTCCCTGTTCTGAATTTCTGAAGCATAAATACTTCAAAATAATGTTAAGTTTGAGATAGACTGCAAAGATAGAGGTACTGGCTTGATTTTGTTTTCTCCCTTAAGAGGATCAAAATAATCGCAAACCATATATTAACTACTCTCCTGCAATTTCTAATTTACAATCTTTGTCAATTTAGAATTATGGAATCAGCCAAGAGTATCCGAAAACATTTCGTTTCTACTGTGCCTTTTTTCCCGGTAAGATAAATATCTGAAGAGGTTATTGCTTAACCTATAAAATAGTGACATCATAATTTGTGAATACTGAAAACCCTGGTTCATTTCTGTTAAACTCTGTGATGAGCTAGACGTGGTGATTTTTCTCAGTGGAAAGGACATGCAAAAGGAAGAGGTTTTTTTTTGTTGTATCCTTAATGACAGTCTGATCTCATTTTAGCCTTGATTACTCTCTGTCACTATTTGCCAGAAACTTTTCTTTGTTTCTACTTTCCGATATCAATTAAGTGAAAATGCCATTCCCCATTCTCGTCAGTATCATCTCATCATATTACCGAAGACCAGACCTCCCCAAATACAGACTCAAACATGCTGTTGAGAAACTGAGCAGGTGTGTTTCCCTAGACCACCAAAGGCTGAAAATTGTAGTCTGCAAGTTGTAATCGGACTAGAAGAATTTCAATATATCTGTGATGTTGTTCATTTGCATTGCTTTCATTTGTAACGTATCTCAGTGAGGCCATTAAAAGCCTTTTTTAAAAGAATGTATGTACTACTGTTTTACAACTGTAAGCCACTAGTTCTGAAACTCAGAAGACAAACCTACAGCAATACCCTATTATCTAGTTTGACTATTTTAACTTACATCTAATTTAAGGTTTTGAGGAAAAGGCTAAAAATATTTCCCTTCTAATTAAATGACAGTTTGGCAGTATGGTCAGCAAATAGAGCATGTATCTAGTTATAAACTAGTACTAATAGGAATAATGGTCTCCACTGACCATTAAATGTATTTTATGGTGGTAAATCAAGATATTTTTGTAAAGGACTCATTCTTAGGTCTATGTTTGTAATTAACTCTACTGTAGATACTATGCTATCCATGATAATTAAATTGTTTAAAAATCATAATTTAAACAGTCTATCCACTTGTTTGCCTGTAGGCAATATACATACAGGAAGTAATTAATAAAACAGTTAATCATCTAGACCATTGGCTTTGGGGTTCACATCTGGTTCCACTTACCCCCTTCATAAGTAGGTTAGTGACTTTAATCCAATTACTTAATAATTCTGATATTCAGTTTCATTTTTTTATCTTTAAAAGTAGAAGCTATAATCATAACATTGTGGTAAGGGGTGACAGTAAAATATGTAAAGCACTCGGCATGTGCTTGTTACAGAATACTCAGTAATAAGTAGCTATATTTTAAATAACAACACATATTTTGATTCCAGGTAGTCAATTGACTTTTTATAAATATTTATTGTATTTACATAGGAAAATCAAGCATTTTCTTGTTTTGTCATTTGGGTTGCTCTCAGTCAGGCCCAAGTCAGGAGGAAATCCTGGTACAACACCAGTTTTTATTTGTTTGTTCACAATAGAAACCACTAGCGGTGTGATGGCCCCAGAGCTGACCATAACCTTGCCTCAGCCACTCTGTTTCTCTGCTAAGAGTGAGTGCTGTTTCTACTGCCTCTGCATGGAACCGGGATGTATGGTTTAGACTCTTGTTTTCTAAGCAAATGTATTTGTTCCAAAACCATTATTTTTCTCACTGGTCCAGAAGGAAGGCATAAGGAAAACACTGAAGTTCATAAAATAAGTAAGGGTGAAGTACATACTTTATGTCTTCAAAGCTACTTTTATGGGAACTTTGCAGTTTACAAAAAGAGCTGATGATGATTAGTTTGCGATTCTAAAGCAAACAGCAGGGAGTTGGACTTTCTTTAAATTTGCCAACAGCAAACAACCTAGGAGTAGCCCTTATCTATCCTAACATCTTGGCAACGCCACTTATTTTTGAATATAGCTTTCTGAATGTTACAATGACCATACCAAAGGAGATATAAATACCCCCAAAGTGATGGGATCATTTTTTAGTGGTTTCATTGAAATTTGCTCTAAGTGCTACTGAGTAGAGGTATGTGGGAATAAAAATAATCAGTTTTATTGATTTCTTCTGTGACTTTGGGCCAGGACCAAGTCTATCTTGAACATCTTTATAACCTAGCACATTGTAGGTGCTTTAAAAATAACTCTTAAATATTGACTGAGTAAAAGTGTCCATCTTAGTTCAATCCCCCTAATCGTTGTGGAGATGAGTGAAGACTGTAGGGACTCCATATAATCTATTAACAGTTTTTTGTTTTATTTTGTTTTTTGAGACAGAGTCTCACTCTGTTGCCCAGGCTGGAGTGCAGTTGTGCGATCTCGGCTCACTGCAACCTCTGCCTCCCAGATTCAAGCAATTTGCCTGCCTCAGCATCCCTGAGTAGCTAGGACTATAGGCGCCCGCCACCACTCCTGGCTAATTTTTGTATTTTTAGTAGAGATTTCACCATAGTGACCAGGCTGGTCTTGAACTCCTGACCTTGTGATCCGCCTGCCTCGGCCTCCCAAAGTGCTGAGATTACAGGCCTGAGCAAATGCACCCAGCCAACTGAGCTTTTAAAAACAAATACATGTGAGAGGCTAGGTGCATGGTGGTTCAAGCCTATAATCCCAGCACTTTGGGAAGCTCAGGCGGGAGGATCCCTTGAAGCCAGGAGTTCAAGATCAGCTTGGACAACATAGTGAGACCCCATCTCTATGAAAAAATTAAAAATTAGCCAGGCATGGTGGTGCTTGCCTGTAGTCCCAGCCCCTTGGGAGATGAAGGAGAGAGGAGCTATTGAGTCTAGGAGTCCGAGGCTGCACTGAGGTAGGATGGTGACACTGCACTCCAGCCTCGGCAACACAGTGAGACCGTGTCTGGAAGATAATAATAACTAATAATATATGTGAAAGAGAGTTCACAATTAGCACAGTATCTCTATAAAGAGTTATTTCAAAAACAGCTCAATGGGAAAAGTGCCTTTATTTATTTGTCAGTCGGATTACAGAACGCAGGAAGCAAAGTGCCTGTGCCTCTGTTGGAAAATAACAACGACTTAACTTGTGGAAACGACTTCGCAGCTTAGAGCCCAGCAATGCCTATTTTGGATTAGACTGTGTATTAATTAAGTTCCAACGATTTCAACATTCATCACCTTGCATTGCACCTCACAGAAATTTAAAGCCAAAACCAAAACGGTCCTGGAGTTCTGAGTGAGGAAAACAGACTCCCTGCACTCGTACACGCGCTGATCGCGCCCTGTCTAGAGTGCACAGGCTTAGGCGGCCAAGTGACCCGCGCCGGCTCCCGCGGGCCACCGGCAAACCCTGCCCGGGCCCGGCAGGCGCTGCGTCCGGGCGCGTTGGCAGTTGGCGACCCCCCTCGAATCCCCCTCTGCTGCCTGCTCCCCGTGGCCTTTGGAGGCTCGGTGAGTCGGCTCCAAATGTTTTCCATATTTGTTCAGCCTCCATAATTCGAATACCAGGGCAGGCCGAGTCCGCCTTGCGCCGCGCTCCAGGGTCCAGGGCCCCGCACACGCATCACCCACCCAGCCACGCAGCGCCATGGGCAAGAACAAGCAGCCCCGCGGCCAGCAGAGGCAGGGGGCGCCGCCAGCCGCGGACGCCGCTGGGCCCGACGACATGGGGCCGAAGAGGGGCACGGGGGCCCCCAAGGAGTGCGGGGAGGAGGAGCCTCGGACCTGCTGCGGCTGCCGGTTCCCGCTGCTGCTCGCCCTGCTGCAGCTGGCCCTGGGCATCGCCGTGACCGTGGTGGGCTTCCTCATGGCGAGCATCAGCTCCTCCCTGCTAGTCAGGGACACTCCATTTTGGGCTGGGATCATTGTAAGCATCGAGTCTGTTTTGCCTAAGCGCGTTTGCCAAACAGGAATGCGAAGTCGCATGGTGGAGTTGAGACTAACCCAGCTGCATGTGCCCTTCCCCAGGTTCACTCCTCTAACTCGCGCTCTGCTTGGTGACTGATGCGTGGGGCACTGGGTTTTCCCGGGCGGGGCAGGGCTGGACGCGGGAGGGTTCCTGCCCCTCTCCTGCTCGCCGCTTCCAGCGCCTCCACCGGGCCTGACTGACGCTCTGGAGCTGGGGAGCTCATCTCAAAAACTGCTGATTTGGGTCAGACTGAACAGCCTCAATACTAACAGCAGATTCATTCGGGCTCTTTTCTTATCCTCTTACCCAGATCCCACCCCTGTCCTTAAATAAGTGGCAAAAAGTGAATTAAGTACATCTAGTAAAAGCGGGAGAGGAGAAAGCCTGTATTTGGAGTTGCCACATTGAGTAGCATTCATTTTATGTTTTAGACTGAGGCTCCATTATAAGTTTCATGAAATTATGGGCTATGGCAGGAAATGTGAATACAGCAAACACAGCCCTAATCTACTGGAGTCTAAAGTGGGTTAACCCCAGGGCGCTGGCCATGGCAGAAGTATATTTGGGACTCCACTGATGGATGTCCTGTTCTAAGTAGAATAGTACCCAGCTGTTGTGAGTGTTGAGACACGTAGCATACTTGGCTTGATTAAATGAATTCTGTAATGTAAAACAGGTTCTACTTACTGAACACCTGTGTGCCTGCCCTGCTAGAGGCCTTACATGTATTATTTCTAATTCCCGCATCATCCTGACTGGATCGTTTTTATCATTCTCATTTCTCAAATGAAGGAACCTAGGCCAGAGTCACCCAGGGTCGTGAGTGGGAAAAGCATTCAGCCAGGCTGATTCTTTCTTATCTGCATTTTCCTCATTGGACCATGCTGCCACCACATTTGGTTTGTAACTTTAATATTATGTTATATTACAGTGCCTTGTAGCTTACTAAACTCCTTCACGTGCATTATTTCATTTGACCCATGAAACAACACTTTGAAGTGGGAATTGTTACTCCTTTTGGGATGTGAGGAAATAGGCTAAAAGTCAGATGACATTCTCAAGACCAGAGATTGAATGTGACCGAATCCAGAGAGACTAGAAATGACATTTTTTACTCCCAGTCTCATATTGCATCCTTACTGCTATAACTGACCACAGGAACTGTAACTCACAAAACATTACTCAAAATAATTTTATATCAGGGACAGACATTAAAGAGACCTGACATATATGCATCGATGTATGTATTTCCTAATTAAGATTATTTGAATACATAATTTTTTGCATAGTAATTTAAAACTTTAATGTTTGTACTAAGAATCCCCGTGAAATTGTCACGATTGGAGTTTTATAAATCAGGTGATTTTAAAAATAGATATTTCAGGCACCTCAATGACTATCCACATACCTGGGGGAAAAATGTCTGCTCTTTAATGCTAGGGGAATTAAAACACAAAAAGAATGAAGCTCTTTCATTCAATGTTTTGAATATCATTTGTGAATGTGTTTCCCATCCTTTCTTTATTGCAACTTCAAAAAGCCCAGAACCAAGGAGGCAAATTAGATGGAGAAAAAACTTGTTTTAATGTTTAAGGCATGGACATACAAACCATGCAACCCAGAAATTTTATGAACTAAGCTCCTGTGGGAGACATTGTTCCCAATTGCCCTGGAAGCTCCCTGGGTGTTGCACAGAGGACATTATATACAGCCAGGTCTCTGTTCTTCCTGGTCTTCTTTTTTTTATCATCTAGGATTCATCTGAAGGTTGCTCCCAGTACATAACCCTGATGATATCTGTAATCTTAGATTTTCTTTCAACTGAGAATCTATGTAGACAGAGCAACTAGTGGAGATGTCCTGAGACTAGTGAGGAGGGTCTCTGAGAAGCCAGGCCAGGAACAACTCTCATCCTAGTAGGGCCAGAGTTTGGGCAATGTGTCACTGTCTCACACAGGCACCATGCTCTGCTTGTCCTCACCATGCTGTCTGTGGTTGGTCACAGGGCACTCTTCCAAGCTTTCAGGGAAGGCAAAAGACAGCAAGGCAGATGGCGAAGTGCAGATGTGTACACACCACACTTGGTGTTGAGCCCCAGCTCAGCCACTGTGTGCCGAATAACTTTGATTTTTTTTTCTTTCTTTCTTTTTTTTTAGACAGAGCCTTGCTCTGTTGCCCAGGCTGGAATGCAGTGGTGTGATTTTGGCTCACTGCAAATTCCCCCACCCATGTTCAAGAGATTTTCATGCCTCAGCCTACTAAGTAGCTGGAATTACAGGCGTGCACCACCACACGTGGCTAACTTGTGTGCTGAATAACTTCGGACAAGCTATTTAACTTCTCTAGGTTTCCATTTCTTTACTAATGAAATCAGAATGATAATAATTTCTATTTTTTGGGCTGCCCTGAGGATGAAATAAATTAATACATGTAAAGCACTTAAAATAGTGCCAACAAATGCATGATTCAGAGTTGGCTCTACTTATTAGCTGCTTGGGAAGCAGTCACTGGTAGTATTACTCTGCAGAGGAAAACTGGCTTTATTTCCTCTATAGACTTGCAGAAGTATCGTTTTTTTTTTTTTTTTTTTTGAGACGGAGTTTCACTCATGTTACCCAGGCTGGAGTGCAATGGCGTGATCTCGGCTCACCGCAACCTCTGCCTCCTGGGTTCAGGCAATTCTCCTGCCTCAGCCTCCTGAGTAGCTGGGATTACAGGCACGCGCCACCATGCCCAGCTAATTTTTTGTATTTTTAGTAGAGACGGGGTTTCACTATGTTGACCAGGATGGTCTCGATCTCTTGACCTTGTGATCCACCCGCCTCGGCCTCCCAAAGTGCTGGGATTACAGGCTTGAGCCACCGCGCCCGGCCAAGTATCGTTTTTGACTCGCTACATTTCCCAGACTAGTTTGAACCTTGAAGCAAATATCAGTTTGACCATCTCACCTTTCTCTTTTCTCAGCCAAGTTACTATTTAGCAATCACAGTGGTATTTGATTAATCCAGTACTTTCTGAATCTCTCTGGAGGTTTATAAAAATGAACTTGGAGGAGAGTGGCCTCCTCAAGGTCATTTTTCCTTTGGGATCTGCAGTGATTCAGGGCTGGTATGTTCTGCAGGGTTATACTAGTTTTCCCTGTTCAGGAGTCCCACCAGACCAAAGCAATCCAGGCAGATCCATGGACTGAGGCTGATTGACACTGGCTCCCAGGATGTAGGCTGAAGCCAAGCTGAATGAGGCACCCACACCGTCTACAACTTTCCATGCTTCACTCTTCTGTTTCCCTTTATTCTGGTTGCCTCTTCTCATGTGGTCATCGCTTCATTTTATAAGGGCCACTATCCCATTAACTTGGAATTTGGGGATGGCCGTTTCCCTAATAGAGCCTGGATATATGGATAAATCCACTTAGGTGGCTTCTCTTTGACCAATGCCTGGGTGACTTGATGAATATTCAAGGTGTGGTTATAGATTGAAGAGGCACTTGGTGATCTATGATCAGAAATTTATGTCCAGTGGAATTTTGGGAAAACAAATAGGTCATTTCTTATCTATCCATAAATGTGGCTCCACTCATCCCCAATCAAAAGATGATGGAAGTCTTTTTACTTCAGTTACAAAAGATTCCTGTAAGGGGGGAAAAAACGTCACAATGGAGTCATTATGGAGACTACGTAACCTGTAAAAGTGCTGTTCATGTCTTATAATTCTTTATAGATGGTTTGAGGGTTGTAAGTCGCACTGCAATGACAAAACAAAGTGGAATAGCAACTTTGAGGATGCACTTGGCTGGGTACAGGGGATCCTAGGACAGAGAAGTTTGTTCTGCATTTTATTCTATTAATGGCTTGAGTAGCTAAGTCAGATGCGAATTCAAGTTGCTCATTTTTCTGGAATTCTGATTGATGAAAAATGTGTAAGGATTGAAGGAATCTAAGGACTCTGGGGATTTTACTTCTCACTGAAATGAATACAGTTTTAGTTTAGGTAAAGCATTACACGCTTAACCTTTGGCTTTCCCTTCTTCATTCAGTTAACATCTGCGGAGGGTGTCTGCTGTGCTACGCATTGGTCTAAAAGTAACGAATCAACTACCTGGAGGAGATCTCCAGATCCTGATGGACACGTGCCCTTATTATATCTGACAGTAATGAATAATTCCGATTAGAAAATTTAACCTACCTACACAAATACTTTTAAAATCCATTTACCTTTCAAAGTATTCCACTTACAGTGATTTATTTGTTTTGGCATCTCTACTCTGAAGTCAATTTAAGTCCAAACTCTTGCTACCCATCCCCAGTGAAGATGTTTAGTATTCGATATTCTCTTGGCCCTTGTAGGGCCATGGAAAGTGAGAATTTATTGCCTTATTGTGCTTTTCAGCTTCTCCCACTCTCCCTCCATTGCTTCCATAACCCCACTCAGTGGAATGAAAACCCTGAGATAAATACTGCATTAATCACATTAGAAAGTTTAAGGCAAAGGCTTAAAAGAAAGGGAAAAATATTTCCTTTATTTAATGTTATTCGTAAAACTCATCACATGAATCTGTAATGATTAAAAGTCCTATCAAGAATTTCATTAACAGTTTTCTTATGCTAACTAAGAAATTCAAGTTGCAGGTTTATTCAGATTTTAAGTCTTGCCCTAGTGGAAGGGAAAATTGGGTGGTTATTTATTTTAAAACAGAATATACCATGAAATTCACAAGTAGACATATGACGTATAGTAAATAAGGAACAAATACAGTTGTTATACAGAATTTATAAGTAGAGTAAGTAAGACAATAATTTAGCTAAATGGTTTGATCATGGTTATGAAAAGTAACTGGAAGAGACAAACATTTGACATTAGGGTATGGGAAAGACCCTTCAAATCAAGAAGCTAAACGTGGTGTTAACTTTCTATAGACGTGTGTTGATACTTGAAAATTTTAATCTGGAATTATACTT